TTAACGATACCTTCATCTTGGACGATGATTCAAATCTAATAGATATGAAGTTAAACTAAATAATAATTACTTATATTAATTATTTATTATAATTCATATATAATGGGATATTGATTTCTAAATAAATGCTTGTCATTACATGCTTTGTTAATATTCGATTTAGTTAAATTAATTAACTTTTGATAAGAAAAATACTTAGTTTTACAGTGTGGAATAACGTCTGAGCTATTATAACTAATAAAACATAGAAATTAACTTGTAATGTGTAAATTCAAGGATCATGTTGAAATATTTTAGGTACAATTAATGAATTGTTTTTAAATCTGCATTTGTAAAATCACTTGTGAAGGGGCGCGAACCAAGCTTCCTTTAGAATGTCACTATTAATTTCATTGTAGGGGAGCAGAGGGGAATTGGGGACAGTAAATAATGGGAGTTACTCTAATATTTACTGTTTATAAGTAAGTTGATTAGATTGTCAACGGACTATACAATCATCCTTATAGCACAGCAGTTGTCTATTAACTATTCCCGCCACAAAGCACATAGAGGTTTCACGTAAATGACCAAGGTCAAAACCGACAACTGACATTTCTTATGCTATTGACTCCAAACACTAGATGGGGCTACTGGTAAAATTATGATTTCTTACTTCATTTTTAATTTTTATGGGTTAAAAACTTAACCAAAAAATCCAAAGATGTGACGTATATTTATATTTTTGGTTATTCTTATTTTTCCGTCTGATTTTAGTGATTTTTATTGGATTTGGCTTTTGATTTCTGTTTATAGTTTCTTCTTAGTTATTTGCAAAATTGTAATATTTTGTTTTTCTTTTTTCTACTGTATTTTGCAATAATTTTGGTGCTACGTTGAGAAATTCGAGAAAAACTTCAGTGAATTACCATGCATCATAAAAAGACAAACGGGTACAATTAATTAATAGTCAATTTATCAGTGGACTAGATTCGGATATCATTTTACATATAAGAGAGTATACCATCTGTATTTGAAAGAAAAATATTTATCAATGAATGAATTGTTAAAAGGATCCACCTTTTAATCCAATTACATTTATCCTCAGGTAAAAAGACATTTATAAAATATAACTTTAGTGTTAATAAAATATAATATCCTAGTCTCTACTTCACATTTAAATATATTGATATTTTAAAGGTTTGAGATTGTATACCTATTTGCTCCAAGTAAGTATTCGTTAACTATGTATTATTAATATTATTATTATTTGTATTTATTTTATTCTAATATTTATTTTAAGAATGTTCTATTTATTATTTATTGATATATTGATTTATTTGATAGTTTAGATCCCCTAATCACTCAAACCACACACTTGGTACTCATTGGTGATTACAATATACCTTGTATAAATGGCACATCTTTTCAATTTTCTAATAAAAATGATACAAACAATGTCTTACAACAATTGTCTTAACGAGGATCAAAAAACTCTAGATTTGGTGCTTGGGAATATGAATTTGAATATAGACGATGAATTAGAACCTTTAGTTTCCATGGACAAAAAACATCCCTCTCTGATAATTAAAACAGAAGTTAAAAAAAGTAACAGACTCACATACACAAACAATAATCTTGAAAACAGATATAATTTTAAAAACGCTGATTTCATATTACTATGCGAACTATTAAGGGATTTCAATTGGTCAAAAATTGGACACTTAGAAAAGGTTGATGATTCTGTCGAATATTTTTATTAGGTTTTTTATGAAATGCTACACATATGTGTACCACAGTTTACTAATAGACTCAAACCATGTCGCCAACACTTTCTGCCATGGTTCACGGAAGAAATAAAAATTGACATAAAGTTCAAAGAATTTTTCAGAAAAAGAAACCATCTATCGGAATATTACATTTGTAAATAAAAAAAAAATAGGGCATACCTCAAATTTAAAATAAGGGCAGCGCACAATAATTATATACAAAACATGCAGAACTGTACTAATCAGGACCCCATGCTTTTTTAGAAATTTATTAAAGATAGAAGGTCCAAAAATATGTCCGAATCAAGTTTTATTATAAATAATAGGGAAATATCTGACAAAAAAATAATCGCAGGGGAGTTTGCTGATTATTTCAGTTCAGTGAATGACAATGATTCAAACTAGAACCTTTTAGATAACAACGACTTGACTAACAAATGGAACGTAAATTTCTATCAAAATATAGACTTTGATCAAATATCTGTTAGAGACTTCGAAGCAGCATTTTGTAAGTTAAAACCGAAAAAGACAGAGGGTCCTGTAACATTCCTTGCTATATCTTAAAAGCTTGTAAAGACTACATAATATACCCTTTGCTGGTAATTTACAATAAGTCTCTTAAAACATCCACATTTCCTAGTGAATTTAAGAGAACTTGATTGACATCTATTTTTAAAAAGGGCGATAAAAATAAAATAGATAATTATCGTCCCATAGCCATATTAAATTGTACAGCGAAACTGTTTGAATTTGTAATATGTAGTGATGCCGCGAGACGAGAGATTCTCGTCTCTCGCCTCGTCTTGTCTCGTCTCGTCTTGTCTCGTCTCGAACGAGACGAAAGAGACATTTTCTCTCGAAAACAGATTCGAGACGAGACGAGAGAGTGTCATTTCTCGTTTCTCTCGAGCTCTCTCGGGTTCTCTCGAACAATTTTCTCTTTTCTTATTTGAAATTTTCAATTGCTTATCGTAACTTAAAATTTTAACATATTAGATTTCGAGATAGTCAAAAAGTGAACTATAACACACCTATTCTATATAATATATTAAATGGTAACAAATGATTATTAGGATTTTATAAATAGTGATTTATAAGAAAAAGTATTTCTCATTTTATTTATTTAAAATTTATACAATCATTTCTTATATTTAATCCATTCTGCTTTTCTGAGGTTACTTTTGAAGATAAGTTGAAAATTTTTAAGCGTTTTTTCGAAACACTGTCAAAGAAAAGGTAATACAAACGAATGTATTGTATACAGTGAGGACGAAAATTGTACCCTCCTTTATTTTAACTTCTAAATGAAAAAAGATAATGACAAAACAAAAGCGAAGTAAAACTCAAGATATATTATATTTTTGTTATAACAAGATACACTCTACTTGAGACACGTGAGATAGAGGAAGATACTAGCTTTAAATTTTCTAATGGAAAGTAGGGTCATGTGATACCTCATTTGAAAGATTTTTTCTATATTTTTTTTTACATTAAATAAATTCATAAAGTAGGTTAAATTCTTTTTTTTTTATTTGCCGCTTCAACCTCAAAGGATCATTACCGGAGGTATAATACCTTATAAATGCTGTTTTTTACAATAGTATACAATGGATAATTAACATTTTGGCTAGTACAGAGTAAATATTAGTATCTTTTATAAATTTAAGTAATCTTTTACTGTTAGACGGATTTAACACTGCACAAATGGCAATTTTTTGTAGCTGGTACTTTGTTCTTATACAGACATGTTCTGGGCCTTTACTAATAAGTTACATTCTTGATAACTCTCGTATTAACAATTATTGTTTATTACTAAGGAAACGCTTCTTGTATTTAGTAAAATAAATAAATTAAGAATATCAAAGATGATTTAAAAATTTTTCATAACTTCTTGGCAAAAAAAGCTTATTAAAAAATTATCTTGCAACATTATCTAACATTTCTAGAATTATTGCGGCACACGAGGATTATCAAGAATGTAATTTTTGTAAAAACAAAAAAATTAAAACTGTATGCTTGGACGTAAATATAATATCTTTTAAATGAGGTATTACATGACTTTACTTTCCATTAGAAAATTTAAAGACTAACGCCCTCTATTTTACGTCTCAAATAAAGTGCATCTCATTATATCAAAAATATCATAATGTTTCTCTAATTTCACACCGTTTTTGTTTTATGTCTCTATCTTATTGCATTTTGATAACATACTACAAAATGCTTTCATTTGACATCGTAGGATTGCATTAGAAAAATTCTAACTTCCAATTTAACCTCTTCCAAAATCAAAAACCAGGAGCGCGACAAATAGCAAATCTTCTATTGATTAAATAATAGAAATATAAAATTTTCAAATTTACTTTTTCAGTAATCTACGTAAATAAATTAAATTTATAAAAAAAAACAAAACCCATATTCAAGAAACTAACCAGTTATAGCGCACGTCAATGGCAAATGCTTTAAACCCCCAATTAAGCGGACTTCAACAGATAAAATCGGTTCGTAAAATAACATGATCGAGATTTAATTTTGAAGTCTTATGTTAAACGAGATCAACCCTGCAAAATCTGTAACAGGCCGTTTACTCCCACGACAGATTCTCTAGAGGAATCCTAAAAATAAAGGGCAGTACTGGAGTCTTGGACTCTATTAGGCATACTGTTGTTCGAGGTAATTCAATAAAAAATGGCTGCATATTATATAAATTAATATAATTAATAATATTAATAATATTAATAATATTAATAATATTAATAATATTAATAATATTAATAATATTAATAATATTAATAATATTAATAATATTAATAATATTAATAATATTAATAATATTAATAATATTAATAATATTAATAATATTAATAATATTAATAATATTAATAATATTAATAATATTAATAATATTAATAATATTAATAATATTAATAATATTAATAATATTAATAATATTAATAATATTAATAATATTAATAATAATATTTTTGTTAATATTATTATATTTTATTAGATTGCACACCCCACGGTATGCAACTAAGCTAACAGTTAGTTCAGACGTACGCCGACTTTCATTAAAATGGTCATCCATCCAACTAATCCAACTACTAACTGCGCTTCGCCTGGCTTGACTGCAGATTTAGCTACAAATAAGTAAACCCGCTAAGCTGGGCTACTGCCATAAATAATATTATTAATAATAATTACCGCAAACTGTAAAGATTTTTATGAAAATCCACAATTAAAAAAGTAAAAAATAGATAATATATAAAGGTTTTTATTTATTTTTAGAATAACAACCTTCAATGTTAATTTTTTATTCAATCAAAAGGGCAAATACAGCACTGGATACAGTAAGAGTGCAAGTACATCCTACGCAATTTGAAGATGTTCATTCTTTTTTACTTCTCCATTGAAAATCGTAAATAATCCTTTGGTAGACATTTTTTCCATCTGGTATAACGCAACAAACATCTTAAATGCCTTGGGACAGCTACAGGTACAATTACAGAAAATGAAAAAGTGGTTGTGTGGATTCTATGGTGTATATTTATGTTTGTGATCATGACATAAGCGTCAGAGTCTTTTACACAACTTAGTAGAATTTACTATGATATGGTGACCACGAATAATTCTAAACAACAACCAGGAAAAACTTTAATTAAGACAAAAACAATTATCAACATACAAAAATAGAAAAATATTTATTTTTATTCAATGAGAGAGTAAAACATTATAAAATATTAATTTTTTTCAAAACATTTTCTGTCCCAATATCGTTACTAGGACACAAACGCTCTCATATTAATATCATTGAATTTATCATCGTAGCAAAATACAAACTTATTTAATAAATAACTATATAAATAAAAAGTGAATTTTAACAAAAAAAAAAAAGAACACACATAACAATCTGCTACCTTTTGAGGTACCTATTGAATACGGTATAAATAATTAAAACAGTCAAATTAATAATATTTATTGCTTTATGAATTTGTAAGTGCCACTACTGTAGTTTGACCTAAAAAGAAACAATGGCTCTCATAGATAATAAAAAGACTGAAAAAAGGAAACCAATTCCACATTACCAGTTCAGCTTTAGAGACAACCATTCAACTATAGATCAGGTTCATAGAATCTCAAATGCGATTGAAAAAGCATTAAAAAAACAAAGAAGTCTGTTCAGCTATCGTCCTCGATGTTGCGCAGGCTTTTGATAAATTATGGCATGATGGCTTAAAATATAAACTGAATGTGCTACTTCCACAGCCATACTCAGAGCTATTGGATTCATACATTTCAGATAGATTCTTTAGAGTAAAACAAGATGAAGCATTCTCTGAATTGAAGGAAACTAAAGCAGGAGTACCACAGGGAAGCGTCCTGGGACCCACTTTGTATCAGTTATGTTTTGTGATATACCCCAACTAGAACAAGACACAATAGCTACATTTGCAGATGATACTGCCATCCTAGCAATAGGTAAAATCACGAAGAGGCTGAAAATAAACTACAAACATTAGTTAATCAAATTATTAATTGGACCAGAAGATGGCGTATTAAACTAAACGAAACCAAATCTGGTAATATTAATTTTACTAACATAAATGGTCAAATAAATTAAGATGTGTCTGTTTTTGTGTTATTATATATTCAATATTGATTACCTTTCCTTATTTTTTTAATATACATATTCATTAAAAGGCTGTAACAGTAGAAAAAATATTGTTTGAAATTCTAGCGAAAAGTTTCGGTGTTAATGCAAAAATAACCACTATATACAAGCTACACCAAGAATGGTACCAGTATCAAACCTTTATTAGTTATTTTCAAAGACATGGAGTCAAAACTGGCTGAAAGTTGAAATAAATATTGGCAGAAAGTCAGTTACCTACTACCAGATGAACATAATGGCTTAGCATCTGCAGATCAACAGTAACCATATGATAATAGGACTCTTATTATTTAAGAATGCTTAAAATGTTTTAAAACTTAAGAGGTGTACAACCTTACAATAAAAACCACTATTACAAAAAACTAATTTAATTATTTATTAACATTATACATCTTGTTGATTAGTTCTCCTCAACCCAAGATTACTTAAAATCCGAATACGAGGCCTGGAGCCTAACCTTAAAACAATAAAAAATTGAACATAGAATAAAACCCCAATCAGCAATATCACGAGCGTCATAAGTACAAACATCCAAATTAGCAAATTGTTATTCACCAAACGATACTCCATCTGTTCAGTATTCTTCTGTATCAACTCGGCTGCTTGCTCTTTGTTCAATTTTGGACAGTCACCTGCATCCTCTGTGACAAGGAATCTAATTGAATCATCTTCGAAAAGAACTTGCAGTTGACTAATAGATTTGCAAGAGAGTTTATTGTCTTCCAAAATGATGTATCTTAGTCTTGGTGTTCTAAATATTAGACTCATATAATCAAATTCGACTATTTCGTTTTTACCTAAGTCCAGGATTGCCAAACTGGGCAAACTAAATCTACCCGTTACTTTTAAATCGTGGATCTTATTTGAAGAAATGTTTAGAACCCTTAGATGAGGTAAACCCACAAAACTTCCAGTATTAATAGTAGTGATATTATTCTTACTCAAATTTAATATTCTTAATCTATATAAACCTTGGAATAACCTCACAGTAATATTAAAAAATTCGTTATCGCTGAGATCTAGCTCTTCTAAGGCATTCAAGTTACCAAAAGTGCTTGGTTTGAAGCTCAAAGCGTTTAAAGAATTGTGGCCCAAATTCAAAGTTCTTAATGTATTATCGCCGGATATATTCGTGGTGAAATTAAACATTTGATTGTACTCCAAATTGAGTAGTAATAAAGTTTTTAGAGCATTGAATTCGTTACCGTAGACTTTCCTAATGGAATTGTGGCTCAATTTTAAAACTTTCAGGTTTACTAATGGATTAAAACAATCTTTAACATGCTTTAACTCGTTGTAGCTCAAATCCAGTATTTTTAAATTGTGCAAGCCTTCGAAAGTACCAGGTTTAAGTTCTTGTAGCTTGTTTTTGCTTAGTATTAATATTTCTAAGACATGGAGTTCTTTAAAAACAAAAGGTTCTAAATGGTTTACAGTGTTTTCCATGCCTATATATTTAATTTTCCTCACACCTAAGAAAGCTTCGGGATACACAACTTCTATAGGATTGTTTGATAACAGTAACCGTTCCATATAGATCATTCCGATGAAAGCCTTAGGCCAAATTTTGGTCACGGAACTGTTCCTTATATCCAGAGTTTTAATTTCATTGCCTGGTATATCAAAGGTACCTTGTTCCAACGATCTCAGGGAGCAATTTAAACATTGCAACGTTTCGTCCATGTAGTCGAATCTGTAGTTCGTCAATTTGAAGTAAATGGCGGTCGCGTTGACGCAAATGGCGGTTAGAGATCCTCTAGGTCCATAACTGCAAGACATCTGCGATGGCCAGGGGTACGATAAAGCACTTGCGGCTAGAAAAGTGATGATCCATATCGTAATTTGTACCTAGAAATAAATAAAACATTATTAAGATGATGTCGGAATAATGACGAAAAGAGCAGATATTGAATTAATTGCATGTTGTGATTCGTAAATTTGTAACTTTCTTATCATTGATTTTTTTTTGACATGTTATAAATTTATGTAAATATAATTAACAATAGTTAAATAAAGTTGTTTAATTATATTTTTGGGTTACTAAATAATAGAAAAATTAAGCTTGGAAAAAGCCTGGGAGAAATTTCATTAAAAGATCACCTTCTAATTGAACACTTTATTTTCAACACTAATGAAATAATTTGATCTATCACTACATGGTTCATTAGAGAGTAATTACTTTTCATATTATTTACAGTTTTTCTTTGTTACATGATGGCGGAAAGAGCGTCGCCTTTTTCAACATCGTAAAATGTGTTTGATGATTTCTGACGCTCTAATTCTACGCTTAAGAGTCACGCTTGTGGCGTTGACCAATAAGAAGGGCATTCCGCATGTGGCGCTAACCAATGAAAGTGGACGACGCCTTTGGCGGTAACCAATGAGAAGTAGACAAGAAGTATGTAATGATGTCTATGATGTAGTTATTTGTTGACCTTCCTTATCGGCCAAGCCAGTGCCGCTTACAGACATGTCTCCAGGAGTAGTCAAAAATCGAGAATGAAAGCTTAGTGTATATTGAATGCAATATTGAGCGTAACGACGAATGCAACTTGTTGAATATAATTCAACAGATGCCACAGAAAAGGTCAAGTAAATAGGAGCAGAAACCAACACCAACAGTAAATTTGAAGTCATGGTTACGATTAAAGTGAAAAACGCTTTTAATTCGACCTCATGGCCACGTATAATAAAGGCATATCTAATAAGACTAATATGCACCTTAAAGACTGAAGAGATGGATATGACGTGCGGAGTACCACAGGGCTCGGTGCTCGTGTCCACCCTATGGAATGTGTTCTATGATGATATTTTTAGGGAAGAGATATCAGATGTCAGAATCTCAATGTCGGTGGTTGCATGGATGTTAGGGTTACATTAAAAGTACATTTTATATGCAGCTTAAAGAGCTTATTAACGTAAACGGGATATGTATGTGCTAGCTGGGTAGAACCTTATATTAGTAAATTTTTTAACTCTAGATAACTTAGGTTAGAATAAAATTGCTTATTATCTTATAATAATCATAAATGCTCCACTTCAGGGTATTTATTTAAAAAAAAATCAATGTTTATTCTAAAACCTAAAATAATTATAGTTCGATATTTAAAATTTTTATTTCAATACTGTATCAATATTTCTTAAACAAGCTGTATACTCAAATATATTTATGAATTTAATTTCATAACAAACATTCGAATATCAATAAAAAAACCGATATTTTTTCAATTAAAATTTATTGATTTATTATTTTGTATATTTACAGAAATCGTTTTAATTGTTGTGTAGGTGGTACTCATAGAGATCACTTGCAATCACATTTTTCATAACACAATAATATACCCGTTGGATCTTGAAATCCAAAATGTAATTAAATAATTAAAAAATAACACCTGTGGTGATATAATAACAAAAACAAGAGTACCCCAGTGACGGAATCTGGTGCAATTGTTTGTTATCGAGATGGTCTTTTTATGAAAGTCTTTTTTTTTTTTTGACTACGTAACATCATACAACATATAGGGTGACACACCAAAAACATTCCACCCTGAATATCTTCCTTTCGGTAAAGATTTATTAAAAGGAAGATATTCAGGATAGGAAGTTTTCGGTGTGAAATCCTGTATAATTAAAAAATACGTAAGTATATAACAAAATGAAGATGCTAAACAGCTTATTTAGAGAAGGGGAGATACTAAAATAAATGTTTTAATTTTATTATATTACGAATTAATTAAAATACAAACGATACGGCTATGAATAAATAAAGTCTGACTTATTTATCAAAATAAAAGATTTATTACAGTAAAACCCTTGGAAACATTATTAAATCTAAACAAAAACTTTTATTAGGCTGATCAGATGTATTAAAATTTTCATTTTAACTACAAATAAGCATTGAAGGTTGAGGTATATATAAAATGTCTAAACCTGTACCACGTTCTGAACATTAACTTACTACACTCCTTTCTTCTCTAGACTATAGCAGAGTATATAAAAATGGTTTCGTCTGCAAATAGAACTAATTTAAAAGAACTTAAATAAGCATTGAAGGTTGAGGTATATATAAAATGTCTAAACCTGTACCACGTTCTGAACATTAACTTACTACACTCCTTTCTTCTCTAGACTATAGCAGAGTATATAAAAATGGTTTCGTCTGCAAATAGAACTAATTTAAAAGAACTTAAATAAGCATTGAAGGTTGAGGTATATATAAAATGTCTAAACCTGTACCACGTTCTGAACATTAACTTACTACACTCCTTTCTTCTCTAGACTATAGCAGAGTATATAAAAATGGTTTCGTCTGCAAATAGAACTAATTTAAAAGAACTTATATTATTACTTAAATAGTTACTGTTTATAATAAATAATAATAGTCATGTGACATAACCCTGTGGAACTTTATGCCTAACTGTATGAAATAATCCTATTTTAAAAGTTTTCTCAGAAACCGTAGTAATTTACTTTCTCAATCAACAGCTCCAGCTTGCCGAGTTTTTGGTCACGATACCACCGACCTAAAGGTTATCATACCCATCTTAGCACTACTTGTCAACGATATTTAGAGCGGTTTGTGGTCACTTCGATATTTTACCTGCAACCTTGCTTCGTACGACAATCGCCAGGTCATCGACATACCCCAGGCAGCAGCAGTCTGTGCAGATATTAGCCTTCTTGCAAATTCGTCGACTAGGATTGACCAAAGAAGGGGTGCTAGTCCCTGCCTGCTTTAGATGTCAATGTAACTTCGCCTAGAGATGATATTATATTAGCCTTTTTTCTAGGCTGATTTTTATCTACTGACAGGACTACTGGTACTCCTTTCTATGCTAGTACGTTATTTAAAGATTTTGTATGGGCATTCTTAAAAGCAAAGAGTAACTGCCGTAATACCTTCTTGTTCGAGGTGAGAACAGAGCCTATTGCAGCTTAAACTGTTCAAAACCAAATTTAGTGTCATTAAAGAAGCTTTTTTTGACTCAAAACAACTATAAAGATGTGATTTAATGATTTTTTAACGAACTAACTAAATACCGATAAAATTTAAATTAAACGATAGTTGTCCACAACATTCTTATCGCCCAATAGTATAACTTTCGAGTATTTAAAACAATCTGGAAAAACCATGACGATAAGAATAATTGGACTAGCGCATAACATGATAAAGGGTAGTTTAAATCTAATCAAGAAGTATATTTTACAAATAATAACATAATTTATTTTTTGTTAAAAAAATATAATTATCACAATTTTGCATAGATACAATGAAAGAAATAATAAAAAAACAATTTTTTTTCTGTACACGACAAAATAATATCAAATCTCTTCAACCACCGCTACCTTCGAAAAAATATTATGTAATTTATTAAACAGTTTATTCTTGCAAGTAATTATCACCACCTCCTTCCATAATTTCAGAAGATACCAAATTGGTCGAGGAACTTGACATATCTGGTCCTCTAGAACCAGCTATCTCCTGATAGGTACGGTACTGCATATAAAACAAAAATCCGATACACATAAACACTATACACATCAACACGATAATAGTAACTTCGGCTCCAGTCACTCTAGACGGCTCAGGCTGAGAGGCTCCTATTAAAGCATCGGCTGTTTTCAGAGAATTCTTCACCGGATCGTTTGTACACTTAAAGGAACCTAATTCGTTATCGTAAAGCACGTATTTGAAGTTGTCTTCCTCGAAATAGGTCTCCATTTCATCTTCCAAGCTGCACGGCAATTTATTTTCCTCTAATTTGAGATAAGATAGCCTTGGAAGCCTTGAAATCAATCCTACGTAGTCGAAATCTGTCAATTTGTTATACGATAAATCCAGAGCGTGTAAGCTGTGTAAAGAAAATACTCCAGTGATTTTAATCTCCATTATATTATTGTGAGAAACGTTTAATAGCTCCATTTGCGGTAACCCAGAGAATGTACCAGTTTGTAAGGAGACGATCTTGTTGAAAGACATATTAAGATGGCGCAGCTGGAATAGATTTTCCCACGTCTTGGTATTAACGTTCTGGATTTGATTGTGGCTCAAATCCAAGTTTTCCAGATTGTGTAACCCTTTGAGGAACTTCTGCCCTATTGTATCGATTAAATTGGACTGTAAATAAAGGTTTTTTAGTTGATTCTGAGGCGATAGTTCAATTACTGGGTTTTTTAGTCGGTTTCCAGCAAGATTAAGCTCGTATAGACCTGTAAGGTTGGTAAACTCATCACCTGTCAATGTAGAAATTTGATTTCCACTTAGGTTCAAAATATTTAAGGAACTTAAGTTACGGAAGACTCCTTTTATGTCAACGATTTTGTTATCTGCCAGGTTGATGATCTTAATATTGTTTAAACCATTAAATGCTTTCCCAGCAATTGTTCGTATGGAATTAGAATCCATAATAAGCTCTTCTAAATTTAGCAATTCCGCAAAACCATCATCTGATAATATATCTAGCTCATTGTGTGATAGATCTATGCTTTTAATCTTTTTAACACCAGTAAAAGTTCCTGGATAAATAGATTTAATACCGTTGTAGCTCAAGATGAGTTTCTCTAAGAAAATTAGACCAACAAAACCTTTAGGATTGATCTTCTCTATTTTGCTGTTATTCAACACTAGGTTCCTGATTTGGTTTCCTGATATATCAAACGTCCCGGCTTCTATGATAGTCAGAGTGCAATTGACGCATTTGACAGTTTCATCCAGTTGATCGAATCTATACGGGGTGCTGCGAAAGTAGCCGGGATTAGCGTTAACGCAGGTTGAGGTCAGTGATCCACGTTCACCGTAGGAACATTTCATGAGGTCTGATGTAGTTACGAAGGCTGCAAAGGTTACT